CTGCAAGGAACAATATATTCTAAAATGAAATGGAGATCTTTTTTAAAGGTTAAAAACTCATTCAATTTTATGTCTTACAGGGCTTCTACTGAGTTCAATATTGTATAACTGTATTAAGTCAACTGTGAACCTAGAAACTTACCGCCAATTGTGAAAGAGATGTACTCTTGCTCTGGAGTGTGTTACTGAATATGTTAAAGCTGTAATGAAATCTGCTTCTAATCATGTAGTTATTAAAAATTTTTTAAAAAATGATTTAAAAAAAAGTCAGAACCAGCTGTGGGTGGTGAAATGGTGAAACATGCCTTTAGTCCCAGCACTTGGGAGGCTGAGGCAGGTGGACTCTGTGAGTTCAAGGCCAGCCTTGTCTACATAGAGAGTTCCAGGCCAGCTGGGGCTACAGGGAGATCCCATCTCCAAAAGATAAGAAAAAAAAAAAAAGTCAGAACCTAAATAGAGGTATTTCTTATTGAAAGATGCATTATTTATAGCAGGAAGAAACAGGCTTAAATGACAGTAGGAAAATGATTGAGTTTATTAGCTTTTTTTGTGCTAGGGAATCAAACCCAGGGCCTTGTGGATGCTAGGCACACACTCTACAATTGAGCCAAATCCCAGCCCGATTTTGTTATTCCGGTGCTGTAGATTGAACCCAGGGTCCCACCTAATGAGAGGCAGGCACTCTATCACTAAACCATATCCCCAGCCCCAAATCATGTATTTCATAAAACATGCAGTCCATTAAAAATGTCTGTAAGATGGGCTGGAGAGATGGCTCAGTGGTTAAGAGCATTGGCTGCTCTTGCAGAGGACTCAGGTTCAGTTATCAGTAATCACAGGGCATCTAACAACTGTTCCTAATTCCAATTCCAGGGGATCAGATGCCCTCTTCTGACCTTTTCAGGCTTTGCAGGACAGGGGTGCACTTACATACATGCATGTGAAACATATACCTAAAATAAATAAATAAATTTATTTATTTATTTATTATTTTAAATGTACGGGTGTATTTCTGGCATGTATGTGAGTGCACTCGTGTCGTGCAATGCTGCGGAGGTCAGAAGAGGGCTCAGATTCCTCTGGAAACTGGAGTTAAGGATGGTTCTTAGCCACCATGTGGGTGCTGGGAATCAAACCTAGGTCCTCTGCAAGAGCAGTCAATGTTCTTATCCACTGAACCATCTCTCCAGCCCCATAAATAAATATTTTAAAAATTAAAAATAAAAGATGTCTGTAAAGGCTGGGGAGAGGAACTTGAGGAAACTTATAGATCCCTCCCTTTCCCATTAGAGGTGATATGATTATAGCTATACTTTCCAAAAAGCCTTGGGGAAATAAAGGAATGATTCCCAATATAAGTAGTGCTTGTCTGTGGGGGATAGAGCTTAGAGAAAGCAAGCTTACAGTACTTCCTCACGTTACCATGCTAGTACTATGAACATATCACACAGGTGACATCTACAAAGATTGGAGAAGATGGTGAGAAGTTTGAACACTCTTCGTTTTTAAAATCCACTATGACAAGGATCAGGATGAAAAGAGCTCCAGGAACACATGGCACAGAAACCTGAAAATGTCTGTATGCTTCCCTTTGCAAATCAGCAGCTGCTCTTTGGTATTCTGTTAAATATTTGACTGTGTGGGATGCACTCAACTTTTGGTTTTGAAAACAAAATATACTTTAAAACAACTTCAAATAATCCACCTACAAGTATATTTCTAGCCATATTTTTCTTACCCTAGTCAACAACAACAACAACAACAGAGACTTTAATATTGTGGGAGGATCCCACCCAGCTCTTCTGTATGGTGTTTTGATTCACCCTCACACCATACTACCAATTAGATAAGGCATGTCAGCATCAGTGACTGTTATCAAGAAATGTATCTCTTCAGAACAAATACTCTAAACATTGAATAGATCTTGATACATGAAGTTATTTTGAACTACCAATTATCTTAGAAGATAACTACTACTTTGTGTCCATATCTTTGTAACTTGGACTTTTGCATGAGTTATGCTCCCATTAATACATATTCATATACAAAGTTCCTGAATATCAAGAAATGTCAGAATGTAATAGTTGCTTTTTTGGATTTTTTTCTCCCTATTCTGATAAATATGAGTAAACTTACATAAAGTTTGGAATCCACAAGGAAAATTACTTACTTGGAAAGTAATCCACCAGGTCCCAAAGGTTTTACAAGGTACTTATCCACTGGTTTGTTAAATAACTGATAAGGTAACTTCAAGTGCTTGGTGACATTATAAAGGTTTAAGGCGTACAGAGTTAAATCTCCTTCTTGATACCTTGGGCTAAAAACAAATAGGTTAACTCAATAAGATATATATCTGATTGGAACTATGAAGAGCTAGATTATAATACAATTATTGATACTAAGCATCCATGTCCATAATGATGGTGGGACCTCATAGTGTCCTTTTCTAGGATGGTGTTTGACTAATTATGTGGCCCTATTTTGAAAACAACAAAAACGCCACTCTTCAGGTCACCACTTTCTGGGCTGGAACTCTGAGATCTTTGTTCCTTTGCCGTGTTGAACTTCCAGGAGGCCACAGCTAAACCAAATATATATATATTTTTTTTTTCTTTAATATTTTCTTTATTTTATTTTTAATGTGCATGAGTGTATTGCCTGCATGCGTGTAAGTGCACCTGTGTCGTGAAATACCTGAGGAGGTCAGAAGAAGGTGTTGGATCCCCTGGAACTGGAGTTACAGACGGTTGTCAGCCACCATGTGGGTGCTGGGAATCGAACCTGAGTCCTCTGCAAGAGCAGGCAGCGCTCTTAACTGCTGAGCCATCCCTCCAGCCCCATATTTTTGTTTTGAGACAGGGTCTCCCTGTAGCTCCGCTGGCCTGGAACTCACTAAGGAGACCAGGCTGACCTCAATCTCACAGAGATCCACCTGCCTCTGCCTCCCAAGTGCTGGGATTAAAGGTATATGCCACCTCTCCTGCTTTAGACTATATATTTTTATATATAGGAATGGTAAATGGCAAAGAATGAAAATTGTTAGTTCATGTGAATTCAAGTTAGAAACTATATAAACAAGCACTCTTCATATATATATATATATATACACACACACACACTAAAACAGGGCTGGGGAGAAAGTTAAATTGGTAACACATTTGCTTCACAAGCATGAGGACTTGGGTTCGGATTTCCAGGGCACACATAAAATCTGGGATGGTAGTGTGTGCTTGTAACCCTAGTGATGGTGAGATAGTAGGATCATGTGGCTTCCTAGAGCTTGCTAGCCAGCTAGCCTAGCACACTTGGCAAAATTCCAAACCAATCAGAGCCTTCGTCTAACAAAAGGCAGACTGCATCTGTGTAACATCACCTGAGGTTGTCATCTGACCACCACATGCACAAGAATGCATGTGTATGCATGCACTCACATACACATGTGCATCCACACATATGGACACGTGTACACAAACACATGCACATGATAATACAATAATTACACAAAACAAAGTAAAATAATAATTAAAACAAATAAGAAACATAAATCTGTTAACACTTTTCATAATTTATCCATTCAATCCAGTCCCCTACTTCCTAGCAAGTCCCTCACTATTCAAAATCATCTGTCACCAGAAATGGGAAATGCTAGTATTAAGGCTAGTATTATCCTATCAGGAATGACAGATTGAAACTAATATGTAACAATCCCTGAGATATGGACAAATTTCTTGCTACCTAAAGCCAGAGGGCTACAAAAATTTGAGTGCTTTCTTGTTCTAGAAACTGTGATTATAACTTAAGAAATTTATTCCTTTTGTTTAATTTGGGGGTGGGGGCATGCATGTATCACTGCACACATGTGGAAATCAAAGGACAACTCTTGGAAGTTGGTTCTCTCCCACAACCTTGTGGAATCTTGTGATTGAACTCAGGTGGTCAGCTCTACACATAAGTCCATCTACCCACTGAGCTCTCTTGCCAGCCCATCTACACTTTTAAAAAAATTTAAATTGTTTAAAATTACACTTATTTATGTGTGTGTATGTTCATGTGCATACACACACGTGCCATGACATGCATGTGGAGGTCAGAAGACAACATGCAGGAGTTGGCTCTCTCCTTTAATCAGAGGGTCCCAGGGATCGAACTCAGGTCATCAGGCTTGGTGGCAGGTCCCTTTACTGGCTGAGCCATCCTGTAGCCCAGTTACAGCTTTTGAAAATAAGATTGTTGCTGCTATTGCTCCCCTTCTTTTGATTCTACCTTAGAAAGCTTATATGAGGCAAAGGAATAAATATTTTCATAGAACTGTTTATTCATATTAATTCATGTTCGTATTTCTATTCCCTCATACTCTTTTAAGGAATTAATTATTCATATAAATAAGGTTTTTTTTTTTACTTGTTTACTATTCTTAACAAAATTCAGGGCATATTTCACATTATAGATTATAACAATGAAAACCATTACATAAATTCTTGCTGGACTGCAAATTCCTGTATTTAAGAAAGGTGTGTGTGTGTGTGTGTGTGTGCATGAGCACATTTATGTTCATGCACACGGAGGTTAGAGGTTGACCTTGGGTACTGTCTTCAATTGCTCTCCGTTTTATTGACTGATTGATCTCAGGCAGGGTCTCTCGTTGGCCTGGAGCTCACTGATTCGGCTAGATTGGCTAACCAGAGCTTCCTAGGGGTCCTCCTGTCTCCGCCTCCCCAGTGCTGGAAATCAGGCACACACTGCCACATCCAGGTTTTTCTGCATGAGTGCTGGGGATTGAAGTCAGGTACTCATGCTTTACCAATGGAGCCATCTCTCCAGCCCCATAAGCAATTTTTTCAAGTTAGATTCTCATGTCATATTGCCATGAAGTCAAAAAAGAGAAGAATGACACAGATCAGGGCTCACCGAGGAAGGCACACGCTTACCCATTCAAACTTGTTTGGTGAAGGGTGTGTCTCATACTCACTGATTGATGTTTGTGCAGTGGAGGTACACTCGAAGCTTGCTTCTGTCTGGGCCTTTCACTCTTGCCATTAACACCTTGGAACCCACCAGTTTCTTGAACAGAAGAGACAGCCAATAATCCTAGTTCCAGTGGTTCAGAGGGGTAAGGGACAAAAACAGATCTTTAGTTATTTTCGGATTTGTAGCTTAACAAACCACTAAGAGCCAAATGGCTATCCTATAAAGAGTGTGACAGTTACACTAGGGGTATTTAAATAGCATAAGACCCCAGTTAATCTGATGCAATACCTTGTTTGCTGCCTTTTATTCTCCCCACACTCAGGACTCTGGTCTGTAAATCACAGGGCCATGACCACTAGAAAACATATCTGAAGAAAACAATCCACTGGCTGGGCCTAGTGGCACACACCTTTAATCACAGCACTCAGGAGGCAGAGGCAGGAGGATCACTGTGAGCTCAAGGCCAGCCTGGTCTACATAGCGAGTCTGAGGACAGCCAAAGCTACATAGTAAGACCCTGTCTAAAAATACTAAAAAACTAAAAAGAGGAAAGGCAGTAGGAATAGAGCAGGGCAGTGGGGGAAAGGGCAGATAGGAACAAAGCATAATAACATGAATGAATGAAAAAGCCACAGTGAAACCCACTTTAAACATTACGTTAAAAAAGAGATCAGTCATGTACAAATGTGGACCTTATTAAGATTCTGATACAGATAAATCTCCTACAACAATATTTTAGACAAGGAAATTGAAATTCGGACTAAATATACTCAAATAATTTGAAGGGAACCCAGGTTCAGTTCCCAACACCCACTTGGCATCTGTAACTACAGTTCCAGGGGAATCCAAAACCCTTTTTTGACCTCGGAGGGCACTACACAACATGGGCACACTTACATACATGTAGGCGATACACCCATACATATAAAATAAAAATAATGAAATATTTTTATATTTTATTTATGTATTTATTTTTTATGTGTATGAGTGTACTGCCCACATGTATGTGAATGCTCCCATGTCATGCAATACCATGGAGGTCAGAAGAGGGTGTCAGATTCCCCCGGAACTGGAGTTAAGGATGGTTCATAGCCACCATGTGGGTTCTGGGGATTGAACCCAGGTCTTCTGCAAGAGCAGTCAGTGCTCTTAACTGCTAAGCCATCTCTCCATCCCCCCAAAATAAAATAGTTTTTAAAAAAGAATTATTCTTAGATATCTTCAAATGACATCTTGTTTGTTTTTAGGTTTTTGACACAAGCTCTCATATAGTTCAAGCTGGCCTCAAACTCACTATGTAGCTCAGACTGGTCTTGAATTTCTGATCTTCCTGTTTCTCCCTCTCAGGTGCTGTGATTATAACTTGTGCTATCACACCTGGTTTCAATGGCTATTTTAGACCAAAAAAAAAATCAAGGTCATACTTCTTATGGCTATGGCTATCATAAATTAAGCTTTAGACACACACACACACATACATACCACATTCATATAGGAGGTAGAATTAGGACAAAAGGTTACATTTCCTAGTTTAGCACCAAATATAGCATGAGATAGGGTATAAATGAAATTGTATTCATAATATCTTGAAGATTATTAATAAAGTAGTCAATTATTAGGATGATAATATTTAAAACAGACACATAGCCCTGGCTTATTGTAAAGTTATATAAATTATGACTTTATGTTTTTTTAAGACAGGGTCTTATTCTGTAGCCCAGGCTGGCTTGGAACTCACAATATAACCCAGGCTGACCTGAAACTCATGGTGATCCTCCTGCTTCAGTCTCCCAAATGCTGGGATTATATCATAACCCACCATACCTGGTTATTTTTTTGTATGTTTGTGTGTATATGTTATGTGTGCATGCACTTTTGTGTGTGTGAGTGTGGGTGTTTGTGTGCCATGGAGTATGTGTAGAGGTCAGAGGTGTTGATCTTCACTTTTACTTTGTTTAAAAAGTTCTCTTTACTTGTTGCTGGATACACCAGGATAGCCTGCCCCAAAAGCTTCCAGGGACTCTCCTGTCTCTGCCTCCCACCTCATCAGAGGACCACTGGGATTACAGACACACACTACTACACCTGGCTTCAAATGGGTTCTGGGGATCTGAACTCAGGTCCTCATGCTTTTGCAACAAGTGTTTTAACCACTAAGCCCTCTCCTCCATCCTAGGATAGCAATTTTAACTTTGTTTGCTTTGCGAAACATTTTTTATTCAAATTTGTTTTCTTATAAAATGTCATACCATTTTAAATTATCCCTTTTTAAAACACAAAATACATACTATGCTTCAATGGGCCGGATTTTTAAAGTGATTCCTGGTTCTTAATTTCCTCTCTGAGATATAAGTGGATAATCTCTAGGGGTCCTCCCAGCTCAGCATCCCACATCTGACTATTTACCGAGAGGACTGGGTCCTTGTAGGTTAGAACAGAGGCCCTGAGCTTACTTTCATCTATTTATATAATCAGAAAAATAAGGCCACTTACAGGTAAAGGTTCGAAGTTTTTATCCACTAAGTGGTAGTTTCCAGCTCCAAAGAACACTTGCCTCATCACCACTTCTATGCCCATTTGGGCTGACAGGCCCAATTTATCCAGCCACCTGGGACAGAGTGACACCAGCTTTCTTCAGATTTGAAAACAAAAATCATTCAGTTCTAATTACACATAGATTTGTTCACCTATGCGGGAGGAATTAACAGGAAACCACAAGAGTGGCATTAATTGCAAATAAGTTATTCAAATGAGATGGTAACCTTAACAGTCCCCCTCCTCCCCATGATAACATGCTCTAGAACACCGTTAATAGGCCAGATTTGTGTTCTATTCTAGCTTATTACAAAGGGAAAAAAAGAGTAAGTATGGAAGAGGAAAGAGAAAAAATCTCAGTATAAGGATACAGAATAAAGTACTGGCAAAGTGAGGTGCTGAATGTTAAGTAAACTCATGGTGTAAAGCAACCAAGTTTGCTGTGGATGACAAGGTGCTGTAGCAAATCTTCAAGTTCATTGGTGATCTCTTGGGCATGACCTCACCTTAGGCTCTAATGTTCTTGAGAATCTGAAATATAGCTACATACACACTAAGCATCCTCAAAGCCAAATCTCTGCATCTTTTCCTTCCTCCTCTTTCCCCTTCCTGTCCTGTCTTCTTTCCTTCTCCTACCATGGATTTCCAAGTGCTGGGATGACAGGCAAGTACTGCCACACCTAACAGGAAGCTTCCTTAGAGGAAGGACTCTCTTATAGTTTGGACCTTCAATGTCCACCAAGGTTCATATGCTGAAGCTTGTCCTCAGCTAATGGTGCTCCTGTGATGAAGTGGGAACTTTAGAAAGAAAGGCCTAGTTGGAAAAAGTAGAGATTGGGGGCGTGTCCTGGAAGAGGCTCTTAGGACCCGCTGGCCCCTTCTTTTGTCTCTTTAGCTTCCACATCACTCATGAGGTGAGCTGTTGCCTCCACCACGTGCTTCTGCCATAATGTACTGCTTTGCCACAGATCCACAGACAACAGGATCAAGTGATCACAGGCTGAAACCTCTGAAAGTGTGAGCCAAAATAAACCTTTCTTCTTTTAAAATTGTTTATTTGTGGGGTGGAGAGATGGCTCAGTGGTTAGGAACACTGGCTGCTCTTACAGAGGGGTTCAGTTCCCAGCACTCACATGGTAGCCAACAGCCATCTTAATTCCAGTTCCAGGGGATCCAATGCCCTCTTCTGACCTCCACAGGTACTGCATGCACATGGTACATTTAAATACATACAGGCAAAACATTCATATACGTAAAAAAATTAAATTGTTTATCTCAGGGGTTTTGTTACACCAACAGGAAGTGAATACAAAATTATTTGGCATATTAATAGGGCATAAAAAGGAATAAAATTTCTTTTTTTGTTCTTCCTCCTCCTCTTCCTCCTTGTTTTTATAGTACTGGGGATTAAACCTAGGGCTATGAACATTCTAGGCAAGTACTCTATCACACTATATCCTTAGCCCTCCATAATTTTACTTTTTAAATTTTAAAACAGGTTGCCAAGTCTGCCCTTAAACTCACTCTGAAGCCCAGGCAAGCATTTAACCTGCAATCCTCCTGCCTCTGCTTCCTAAGCAGCTAGAATTACAGGCTTGTGCCACCATATCCAGACAAAATTCCTAAAACAATTCATCCTTGCAATGGTTGCTTAGGGACACCTATTAAAGATGTCCAATTAGGTTAAGCAAACTACTTTTTTGTAAGACTTGGCACAGATTTTGATGCTTTGCTACAGAAAACATCTTTGATGTGGTTTTGGGCTGACATTCATGGAAGGATGGAGCAGAATGGTAATCTGAGCCAAAAGCCAGGCACTTTCACTCACATAAAGCCAGCTGCAAAGGTGTTGGACAGCAAGGGTGCTCCACCGCCATATGCAGAGCTTGTCTCTCCCAGCCAGACTTTCTTGCCAGGTCTAGTCTCCTCAACCACCTACAGAACACGAAAGTCTCCATGGTAACTGTAAACAAGAGGACCACTGTGGTGCTGAAGATTAACAGCATACAAAGCCTTGAATATACAGACCCATCTATCCTGTATAGCTACAGAATACATTATAGCCATTTAAGTCTTGGGCTATTTTCTTTTATTGGCCTATGAGGATGTGGAAGGGCTATAGATAAATCCATAAATGTGGTCATTATTAATTTTACTGGAAAACTATTGGGAATATTTTAAATTTCTAATTACCATGAATAGGTAAGGTCCAAAACTAAGGCGGAAACAAAGGGTGAATAAGTTGTAATGCCTAACGCCAGATGTGGTGGTACATGCCTTTTGTACCAGCGCTCAGGAGGTAGAGGCAGGCAGACATCTGTGAGATCAAGGCCAATCTGTTCTGTGAGATTCAGGCCAGCCAAGGATACATAGTAAGATCTTGTCTCAAAATAATAAATAAACAAATGAACAAATAAATAAATAAAGCTTATCTTTTAATTTATAAAAATCATCTACATCATTTTCTAAATACATATACCTATAGAATTTAGACTTCATTAGACTATAAAATAAAGACTGGTTTGATATGAAAAATTCAGAAAGACTATTACCTGTAGAATTTTTTGCACAGATAAAATAAAAGTGTCCAGAACATCAGGGCTTAAAAAATCTTCTTTGGTAGCAATTCGTCCATTCAAATAGTAGCTATATTATTCAGAGAAAAAAAAACAAACAACAGTTTACTTTCTGCTATTGAGTCAGTTTTGGACCCTGTTCTCTTCCTATTTTTTTCTTCCTTATTATTTAAAAAAAGGCAGAAGTTCTACTAGAGAGGAACAAAGATGGGAGGGGCCATGGAGACAAGATGATTCTATCCAAATAACCACAAATCTGTTATTCCACCTTAGGAAGAGGCAGTCAGAAATGCAGGTACTCTCATTTACCTGTTCTTCAGCAAGCAACTGGTTTTAGCTACTTCTGTATTCCATGGCTTAGTTGGTCATATACTTTGATTTTTGTAGAAACTGCCATATTATTTAAAATAACATTAAGATTTTATTTTATTAATATCAAATTTCTGGTAAAATACTGCTTGAGGTACTATTTGTTTCTTTAAATTTTTTTCCCAAAAAAGATGTATTTATTTTTATTTTATGTGTATGAGTGTTTTGTCTGCATCTAAGTGCACCACATGCATGCAATGCCAGAGGAGACCAGAAGACTGTGTTGGATCTCCTGGAACTGGAGTTAAAGGTGATTGTTAGCCACCACGTGGGTGCTGTGAACTGAACCCAAGTCCTCTGGAAGAACAGGAAATGCTCTTAACTGCTGAACTATCTCTTCATTCTATCAACTTTTAAAAGTCAATTAGCAGTTAAGTGAAAATAATTTCTTAAAAACTAGCAATAAGTTCAATTAGCATTACTTTTTCGGCATTAAGAATTCCTATTCTTGTTGCTGGGTGTGGTGGTGCACGCCTTTACTCCCAGCACTGGAGAAGTAGAGGCAGGCAGATCTCTGTGAGTTCGAGGCCAGCCTGGTCTACATAGTGAGTTCCAGGCCAGCAAAAAGAATTCCTATTCTTAAAAAATTTTTTTTCTATTTTTATGTGTATGTGTGTGCTTATGAATTTATGTGCACCATGTGGAGGTCAAAAGAGGGCATCAGATCCCTCGGAACTTGAGTTACAGGTGGTTGTGAGTTGCCATATGGGTGCTGAAACCAAATCCAGGACCTCTGCAAGAAGAGCAAGTGCTTTTAACCACTGAGCTGTCTCTCTAATCCATGAATTCTTATTCTTTTCTTTTTTTTTTTTTTTTAAAAAAAAGACTTATTTGTTTTATTTTATGTGTATTTGTGCCTGGTGCCCACAGAGGCTATAAGAGGATGTCAGATGCCTTGGAATTTGAGTTATAGATGGTTGTGAGAGACCATGTTGGTGCTGGGAACTGAACCTGGGTCTTCTGCAAGAGCAGGCAGTGCTCTTAACTGTTGAACCATCTCTCCAGCCCTGTTATTCTTAATGTAACTATAATTGGGGCATGAGAGGGTATTAAATAAATTGAAGTTAATAATGGGGATATTAAACAAATGTATCTACTTACTGATGCCATGTAACTGAGTCAATCACTTCTCCACCAGCCTTCAAGAAACTAGAACAAAAGTTTCATGATGGTATCATTTAGTCCTCAAATATACACACATTTTCAGAAGAGTTTCATTTCCTGGAAATGGCTCATACAATGCTAGTCTCAGGAAACACAAATTTCCTAATCACAGGTGCTGTTCATCCCTGAATCCTTGCAATCTTAAACCGATGTTTCTTCTTTTGGTAAACCATATAGTTAAGCAGCAAGCTGTTTAATAATATGTGGACTACCAGAGAGGGCCATTTATCTTCAAGAAAAGTGGTTCTGCTTTTTGGCTAAGATGGTATTGAAAGTGAAGAAGTTCCTGCCCCTCCCAAAGCTGAACCAAAGCCAAGAAGGCTGTGCTGAAAAGCATCCACAGCCACAAAGGGATCTGCATGTCACCTGCCTTCCGGAGGCCTAAGACCCTACGACTCTGGAGGCAGCCCAGATACTCTCGCAAGAACATCCCCAGTAGAAACAAGCCTAACCGCTATGCCATCATCCAGTTTCCCTTGAGCACTAGGCCAGTCATGAAGAAGATAGAAGAAGACAACACACTTGTGTTCAATGTAGATATCAAGGTCAACAAGCACCAGATCAAACAGGCTGTGAAGAAATTCCATGACAGTATGTGGCCAAAGTCAATGCCCTATTCAGTCAGACCTGAGAGACAGAAGGTCTGTATTTGACTGAATCCTGGTGATGATACTTTGGATGATGCCAACAAAATTAGAATCATCTACACTCAGTCCAGTTGCTAATTCTCAATACACATTTCTTCACCATTAAAAAAGCAAAGTGGTTCTGTAGCCTCCAGTTCTTACCTTCTCAGCAACTTAACTGTCTTTCCTCGAGGTTGACCAACATCAGGACCATAGAGTTTCACATTTTTGAGAGTTGATTTTCTTAGAAGCTTATGCAACTCAATATAATCTTCTCCTAACTGCAATCCATCGATGGAAATGTGAGCCTTCTTCCAAAAACTATTAGGCTCTGAAACACAGCAATTCTCATGCTGATCACTTACCTAAACATACTTTATTTAAACACAGACATACAGCAACAAATATCTTCCAGACTACAAACCTAGACACTAAAATCAAGAAACACGTCTCCTAGATATAAGGAAATTTCAGACATAAGCATTTTAATTTTGTAACTAAGGTAAGCAAATTGAAGTTAATAAGGGTGGTATTAACTCAACAGATATTTGGAAAATAGTTGATATACAGTATTTGATGACTTAATTTACTCATTTACTTGAAAAGAAAGAAAAGGGGGTTAGAAAGACAGCCTGGCCAGCAAAGTGCTTACTTTAAAAGCAGGAGGACCTGAGCTTGGTCCCCATAATCCATGTGAAAAAGCCAGGCATGATGGTGGCACACTTGTAGTCACAGCACTGGGAGGGTGGAAACAGGAGGATCCCTGGGGCTTGCTGACCAGCTAGCCCAGACTACAAGGTGAGTTCCAGACAAGTGGGACAGCTTGTCTCACAAAAAAAGGTAAAAAGGGGGCTGGAGAGACGGCTCAGTGGTTAAGAGCACTGACTGCTCTTGAAGAGGACCGGGGTTCGAGTCCCAGCACCCATGTGGCAGCTATGAACTGTCCTTAACTCCAGTTCCAGGGGAATCCGAAGCCCTCTTCTGACCTCTGCGGCATTGCACGACACAGGTACACTCATATACGTGCAGGCAATACACTCATACACATAAAATAATAAAAATAATAAAATACCCCAAAAAAGGTGAAAAGGTAGAGTCTAATGAATGGCACTTCAAGTTGTCCTCTGGGCTTTCTGCACCCCCCCCCACACACACACAAAAAAAAAAAAAAAAAAAAAAAAGAAAGAAAGAAAAGAAAAGAAAAGAAAAAGAAGAGACAGGGAGAAGACTTTTTTTGGTGCAGGACCATGCCCGTCCTCAACAGCATGTGCTCATCAAATTGCTACATCTCATTTTTGCATTTCATATTTAGCTTTATTTTCTATTTTCACAGAAAACTCTATAAATATATTTTGAATAAATAGGACTAGTCATTAACATGCTAGTCAGGCCTTTTAAGTTTCTTGCAAAAATGTTTGAAGAGACAGACACTTGAGGCTGACCTGGGTAGGAGTCTATGCTAGCAACTTCTAGACCCCTTTAGCAAATAATGAAGGTCAGAAGGGGATTGTGGAGATAACCTGACAAGGTGAGAAACAAATCGAAAGAAGGAAAGTAAAATGAAACTGCCAGCTTCACAGTTTTGCTGAGTCTAGCTTGCTAAGCACAATGGGTTTAAAAAGACTGCAAATCTCAAGGGAATCTGGTGGCGGGGGAGGGGGTGGCGGGGAGCTTCAGTAGTTTTGCTTACCACAAAACAACAGAAGGGTGTGCCAATGAGATTGCTCAGGGGGCAAGGCGCTTGCCATGCAAGCCTGATGACCTGGCTAGATTCCCAGAACCCACCTAGAGGGGGAAGCAGAGAACCAAATCCACAAAATTGTCCTCAGACCTCTGCACGTGTACATGCTGTGCCATATGCTCCACCATGTCATACGCACTAATAATAAACGTATTTTTAAAAATATTTTATTTATTATTTTTATTTATTATTGTCCTTTCATTCTCTTCATGGGTTTTATTTCTATTGTTAAGTCAAAGGAAGTCCAGTCTGAATAAATGACTATCATTATACCTGAGTAATGACAAGGGAAGGAGCTTTCTCCCAAATGCATTATTTTTATTTTATGTGTGTAAGTGTTATGCCTGCATGTAGGTAAGTGCACCCATGTCCTGCAATGCCCGAGGAGACAGAAGAGGCTGTCAGATCCCCTGGAACTGGAGTTACGGACAGTCGTTAGCTGCTATGTGGGTGCTGGGATTCAAACCCGGGTCTTCTGCAAGAACAACCAGTGTTCTTAACCACTGGGCCATCTCTCCAGCCCCAATAAATGTATTTTTTAAATTAAGAAAAACACCATCAACAACAACATAAAGGCTAAAGAGATGGCTCAGTGAGTAAAGTGCTTAATGTGAAAGCAAAAGAACTTGACTTCAGATCCCCGGTACCCATGTAAAATGCTGGGCATAGTAGTGTGCCTAGAATCTCAGTAATGGGAGGCAGAGACAGGAGGATGCCAGGGGCTTCCTGACCAGCCAATCCAGCTAATCACTGAATTGTAGGTTCAGTGAAAGACCCTGCCTCAAAAAATAAGGTAGCGAGAACGAGGAAGACACTTAGCATCAATTTCTGGTCTCTTTATGTACACATCAGTGAGTGCACTGCACGTGAATGCATGCCACACACAAAAATGCAGGCACACATACACACACTCACTCACACACACACACACACACACACACACACACACACACATGCATATACACACTCACATACACTGGAATTAGCAATAGGTTCTGGGATATATAAAGGATCTTTCTCCCAAATGCAGTTCTAAAAGTTGCTGTTGAGCAACTTGCAAGAATGTGTCTAGGGGCTGGCAAGATAGATTGCGGGGGGGTGAGGGGGGGCGCCAACCTGAGTTTGATACCTGGGAGCCATATGGTGAGAGAAACAATTCCTGCAAGCAGTCCTCTGACCTCCACACCCCTGCTGTTTGTTGCACAGCCCCCTGCCACACAAATAAGTAATTTTAAAAAAAATTGCACACATTTAATCCCACACTCAGGAGGCAGAGGCAGGTGGATCTCTGTGAGATGGAAGCCAGTCTGGTCTACATAGCAAGTTCCAGGAAAAGTGTCTGTGTCCAGGCAGAAATCTATTTGCTAACATGGAAAAGAATACCAAAACAGGAAAAATAAATGGAGGCAATTTCCTCACAAATGCAGTGTCCCAGGGGTACATACCATTGCCCAGTTCCCAGGATATGTCATAGTTCTTGGAAGAGCAGTAGTTCAGCAGGAGCTGAGCATTGGAGCTGTTCCACCGAAAATCCGCAGTTCTTAGTAACGCATTTAGACCAAAGATCAAGTCCAATCCCGAGCACCTAGCAAACGTGTACAGCATGTCCACTGAGCTTCCTGAAAGGAAAACGACACAGTTCAGGGTTACGTGAAGACTGTCTCCAGGCTTCTCTTGTTATTTCTATTGTTTCTATTTCTATTGTTAAGTCAAAGGAAGTCCAGTCTGAATAAATGACTCTCATTATACCTGTGTAATGACAAAATTGGACAGGTGAATTTAAAAAGAAAACTCTGGACTGGAGAAGCAGCTTAGTTGGCAGTGTTTGCCTAACATGCAGCAAGCCCTAGATTCTACCCAGGCCTCAAACTCACTCCATAGCTGAGGGTGACTTCGAGCTGCCAGTCCTTTTGCCTCTCTCTCCTGAGCCCTGGGATTACAGTGGTGGACAACCACGCTCAGAATTTTTGAGAGTAGCAAAAATACAACATTTTTTTTTTTTTTTTGAGACAGGGTCTCATGATGCAGCTTTGGCTGCCCTGGAATTCTCTATGTAGATCAGGCTGGTCTTGAACTCTCTGAGATTTGCCTGCCTCTGCCTCCAAGTGTTCAGATTAAAGATGAGCCCCACCACACCTGGCTCTAGAGTCGTTTATTCAGCAGAAATTGACTGTGGAACTCTTCTAGTTTAAAAACAAACAGAAAACCTTTTATAGGTGCTGTGCTGCCTACCCCTCTTCATTTCCAAACCCCCCAGGATGCTTGCATTTTAGAGTATATATTCAACTCCTGCTTCACACTTCCTCTAGGCCTTCATTCTTCCAAATGCACTGGGAGTTTCTGCAGCCTAAAATTCTGTCCTACATCCCCCTTGTAATAAACAGAGACGCTTCTTAGAATAAAGGCTATTAATTCCTGAGTTCAAATACAACCTTAAAAATAAAAATAAGAGGCCCAGAGATATGACTCTGGGGGTAAAGGAGCTTCCTGCCAAGCCTGATGACCTGAGTTTGATCCCTGGAACCCACATGATGGAGAGAACCAACTCCAGCAAGTTGTCCGCTGGTCTCCACATGTGTATCATGTTCCTTATCCCCCTGCCCAATAAATAAATGAGTAAAAATAAAATAGAGAAAAAACTCATCTAGTCTACTTCCTCCTCATATAAGAGACATAGTAATAAAATTCACAATTAATTTCCTATTTCCAGTTATTTTTCAAACTCTTATCTCTTACTATGGGAGAGTAGAAAGATCCGTGGGATGAAGATAATCTAGATGACACATTTTTAAGATGAAACTGAAATCAGGTGTGGTGGTATACACCCTTAATCCCAGTACTCTGGAGGTAGAGGAAAGCAGATCTCTGAGTTCGAGGCCAGCCTGGTCTACATAGTAAGTTCCAGGCCAGCCAGGGCTACATAGTGAAATCCTGTTTCAAAACAAAAAAACAAAGCAATACACAAAATGGAACTGGATCTTTCCCTGTAGTCTACAATGTAAGTTTACATAAGGGCATCCAGCATCCAGCATGGATCCAGGCGTTGAGGTGGAAGGGTGGAGCAAGGAGGAAGAGAGATGGAGAAAGAGGCAAGGAAGGTACAGCTCATTAAATTAGTCAGTGTAAAAAGGGAACCTGACTTTCAGTAGCCATGCCCAGAATTACATCTATACCTTCCTGCCCAAACAGGTTTACCATGGAGACTCTGCTCTCACAGCAAGTATTTTGTCTTCTACTTAAGTAGAATCAATGGACCTGTGTTAGAAAACTTACCTGTATCTCCTAGGACACCTCTTCTAAGGGTTCAAGCCACTAACCAAGCCAGGAGCACATCTTTTGCTGTAATAGACTTTTACTTTGTCATCCATTGCACCACGTTCCCCAAGGCACTTAGCCATGATCAACCTCAGCCACAAATTCAGAAGAAATGTGTGGAAACACCTACTGGCTTCTGAGATGTGGGCCACTACATTAAGTAGGCATCTAGATCAAACATATTTCCATGAAGGTTAAAATTGAGAATTCAAATCAGAGGTCAAATGTTCCCCAGCACAAATAAAGTATGTGTTTTTTTGTTTTGTTTTGTTTTTTTGTCTTTTTGAGACAGAGTTTCCCTGTAGCCCTAGCTGGCCTGGAACTTGCTATGTAGACCAAACTGGCCTTGATTTCACAGAGATCTACCTGCTTCTGCCTCCTAAATACTGGAACTAAAGGCGTGTGCCACCTAACCCAGCATGATTTCTTAATCCCACTCTGTGGCTAGTACACAAAGCCAGAAGTCCAGAAGTTTTGGGTTCAAGGTTTCCCAGTAACTCTTTTTCTTCTTTGCTTGGTACTGGTTATTGAACCCAGATCCTCAAGCATGTTAAGTGTGCACTCTATCACTGAGCCGCACACCAACTTATCTCATTAACTCTGTGCATGTACATGTATATGTATTCACATGTGCAAATGCACATATATGCACATGCATGTGGAGGCCAGAGGTTGACACTGAGTGTCTTTATTTTTCATCTACCTTGGTTTTTGAAACAGGGTCACTCATTGAGTCTGGAGATCATTGATTGGGTATACTGGCTGGCCAGCTAGCTCCACGGTTCTATCTGTCTTAATCCCCTCAGCACTGGGGTTACAGATGTGTATCACCACACTCTGTTTTTACATGGTGCTGGGGATCCTAATCCAGGGCCTCAATTCTGTACAAGAGGCACTTACCAACTGAGCCATCTCTTCAGCTCCCACATTAGCTTTTGATAGTATTTAAATATTATACATCTTTACACAATTTCTACAGGGCTTATTAAATCCAGGAGCAGCCCCTCCAGATATATCTGTGGCTGGAACACCTGCAGGTATTTCTGGTATTTCTGTTACTTACGTGAGTAAGTGCTGTTTTTAAACTCTTTTTGGTACTGTTCTCTGAGTAGCAACTGCTCCTGGAAGGGCCATTCCACCTGTAGTCTCCTCACTACAACAGCAGGGATGGCTCCAGATCTACAAATATCTGCAAGTGGAAGAGAGAACATAGGGACTCTATTTGCACAGTGCCAAGGTTGAAATCCTATGTGTATATTTAGTCAGCTATCATGTGGCTAACACAGGACAATTAAGCTTCTAGTTATTAAAGCAAGAGATTAAGGACACTCATATTCTGTTAAATGAGCCAGGTTTGCTGGCTAACCAAACACCACCAAAAAAAAGAAAAGAAAAAAAAAAAACCCAAAGGGTAATTCTCCTAAGAGACACTGGGCCTACTCTGGGCCCAAAAGCACTGGCATGACTTTGCTCCTCAGCAACTTGAAATTATCAGAGAATCTGAATGTGGAAGGCATAGTTCAGCTCCCTTAAAGTTCATTTTCAGAACATAGCTGGCTGTGGTGGCATACCCCTGCTACCTCACCACTTGGGAGTGAGGCAGGAGGACTATCCTGAATTTGAGGCCAGCTTTGATTATAAAACAAATCCTGTCTTTAAAAAGAAAAGAAAGGGGCTGGAGAGATGGCTCAGGGGTTAAGAGCACTGACTGCTCTTGCAGAAGACCCGGGTTCAATCCTCAGCACCCACATGGTGGCTATGAACCATCCTTAACTCCAGTTCCAGGGGAATCTGACGCCTTCTTCTGACCTTCGCGGCATTGTACGACACAAGTGCACTCACACACATGCAGGCATACACATAAAATAAAAATAATAATTAAAATATTTTAATTAAAAAAAAAAAAATTCAAAACACCAGGCTTGGAGAGACGCTCAGCAGTTAAAAGCACTGGCTGCTGTTGTAGAGGACCCAGGTTTGGTTCTCAGCACCCACATGGCAGCTAACATCTGTCCTTAGCTCTAGTTCCTGGGGATCTGATGTCCTCTTCTAGCCTCTGCAGACATTGCATGCACATGGTGCATGTACCTACATGCAGGCAAAACACACATACACATAAAATAAAATTTTTAAAAAGAGGCTGGGCGTGGTGGTGCATGCCTTTAATCTCAGCACTTGGGAGGCAGAGGTAGGTGGATCTCTGTGAGTTCAAGGCCAGCCTGGTCTACATAGTGAGTTCCAGGACAGCTGGGGCTACAGGGAGACCCTTTTTCAAAAACACCAAAAAAAATTTTTTTTAAAGAAAACAAACCCTAAACACATACTTCTGGATGGTATTTGCTTTGTGGTGATTTCCTATTGCTGTGATGAAGATGACTTCTGAATTAATGACTTTTCTTTCTTAAAGAAGATACCATCCAACCTTCTGGGACCACAGCACATACTTCGGAGCCATCCTCTACTCTCCTGTCAGGAAGCGTTAATTCTTTATCACAAGGCAGCAGGGATGCCAGCGTTTGCTGCCAGGGACAGCTGACCAGCTGATGACTTCCTTTCTGGGAAGCCACACTATGACTGGTTGGCAAACACGCCTTCCTCCAACCCAATGCTCACAAAGGATGTTTCAGAGGAACTTGGGTGATCCCAGTGACCACCTCCCACCCCCGCCTCAGGATGAAGAAAAGTGATGTCTAAACTTAAATTATGAATGCACATGACTGTTAGGCAAGAGCAAAGGTTGAACAAACTTGTTATTTAAAGAGGCTCTTCTACCTTCTTTCTGTTTTTTATGTGATTACCTGGTTTTGGCCTAATAACTGATTAACTACTCTAACTACTTTCTAACTAAATAAAGTAAGTAGAAGGAAAATATATAATATATGATATAATTAAATACTACTCACTGACACAGAAAGGATACACATATAAAGTGCAATGAAGTATACAATACTTTCATAATTGTTCAGATAATTATTTAACTAATATTTGACACTTGATACCATTTTGAAAGTCACAGACAAATCCTCAGGACTTGTTAGTGAAGGTGCACAGGTGAAGCCCATATGCTTCCTACATCAGAATCGTCTTATTTTAGCTTGCTAAAATAAATAAAGAAGACTCTAAGGTTGGAGCCCCAAGACCCAAATACTCGAACTCGTTGCATGGGATGTAAATAGTCAATAAGGGTTGAGAGTCATAACCAGTAAATGAAGCCTTGAAACTCATTCTTGGATGAAGAGCTGTGTCTCTCTGTCCATTTGTTAGAGCCTTTCACACTTTCTTTACAGGATAATGTGGTTCAATGTTTTGCTATGTTGTCAGCTAGAAATAGGCTTTTTAGTCTGTTGACACCTTCCTACCTACATACTCCCTCCAAGCAGCTGTCTTTCAGCTACAACCACTGTTTATTTGATATTTATACCCCCCAGTCGTTACGTCCCGCACACCTTGTCTGTGAGGCCTCATAGCCACAAAATCATCAAAGGAGGAAACCAGCTACAGCTCCCTTCTTTGTTGGGCCCGCTACGCTTACAGCTTTCAGGTATGAGCAACACTTTTCTCCAAATAGTCTCCTGAGGGATACATGTTAACAAAAATATATAAACCTTTAAGAGTGTTACCATGGTTCACTTGAGATTTCCAGTAACTCCTTTCTTCATGGCTTGGTTCCTTCTTGGGGTCAAAAATAAGGAAGTCTGTCTTGGTGCCACCAAATCTTAGGTATGCAGGAGACAAACCTCTGGCCAAAGCCCGAAGTTTTGGGGAACTGTTAATTGAAGACAAACAGAGTATAATAATGACAATAACAATAACAGCAACAATAATAACAATTATCATTCTAGAGTCTCATTATGTAGGCTCTGAGTGCTGCCACCTGCCTTAGCCCCCGAGTGCTGGGATTATAGGCATGCCCAATCACTCTCAGCTTATACTTTTTTCTGAGAAAATTCAAACATTTTCACTTTCTTGTCTCTTGTTAGACCTACTCCTTAACTTCTAGCTACTGCTTGCCTCAGGGGGATGGAGAGGGGTGGATAATCCAAGACATACTTATCCATAGAGATATCATACTTTGTGAATAATGGGATTTGAGGAGGAGTCAAGGGTTACTACTGGGAAGCACCTTGGAAGGTGGTACTATCATTCACTGAGGTGAGAAATGGGTCATAGATTGGAGATGGAGTGAAGGAGAAAGGGGCCGAAGAATTTGTAGAGTTCGAGATGCCAACTGTTAATCTTCCTCGTCAACTGAACTGTATTTAGTACCACCATGGACACACACTTCTAGGTGTGTCTATGAGAGTGTTTCTAGAAAAGTTTAACTGAGGAGAGAAGATCTACCCTAAATGTTGGTGACACCATTCCATAGACTGGAGTTCCAGACTGAATAAAAAGGAGAAAGTAAGCACTGATCTTCCTCAGCTCTCTGATACAGATGCAACGGGCTCCTGCTGCACCACTTCTCTGCCATGATGGACTGCACTCTGCAACTGTGAGCTAAAATAAACCTTCTCTTCCTTAAGTTGCTTTTGTCAGGTATTTTGTTACAGCAGTGAAAAAGTTAACTAATGCACCAATGGACAGCATAACCCATAGATCCATGAGGCTCCTGGCCACATGTAACCAGAACTCAAGAGGTACTGGGGATGTAGAGTCAATGGCTAGTCACCCCTAGCTCACAGGTGCCAAGACACAGTCATAAAGCTCTTGTGATGAACTTCCTTAGAGAGTCACTCAGGCCTAGCACTCTCTCATTGCCTTTGGCCTTGCATTGGTGCTGATCCTTGGCATTTCATTTTTATTTGATAACAAAGAAGACTCATTTGGATTTTTGTAGCTACTATCCATAAACAATTGAGACTAGGCCAGAGATTTGTGCCCATCAGGAGCTGGAGAGAAAACTAGCCACTGGAAAAGGAGCTATGGCATCAGAAGGTGGCTTAGGTATGATAGCCAAGGACCACAGCCTGATCCCCAGAGGTATGGACCTTGGGTCACTCTCTATCACCTGTTTTATTTCCTACATAGCATTTCCCACTCTCTGGAATCAGCTTCCTCATATGTTTCCCTGAAGGCAGGGACCTTGTGTGGTTTATCAGAATCTTTCCCGTGCCCAGACAAATGTCTGACACACAACAGTGCTTAATAAGTATTTGTTAAGTGAATTAACAAAGAAGGCCAGGCTCATTTGAGAAAAGGCAAGAGGAGGCCAGCCAATGACTTTAAAAACAAATTTAAAAAAGGGGGAATAGCATTTCTTAGCATCCTGAGGAAAAGAAGTCTCACAAGAAATGGAAAATTTATTTGTTAATGCTATTACATCTCATAATTATTTTTTTAAAAAAGAAAATGAGAATGTAAAAGATGTTAAAAGGATATGGGAATGGAGATATTTTCCAAAATAGAAAAAATGAGAAAGCCTAAGCAAGTGATGAAGGTCTGTTTAGGTTTGTTATGATATATAAAGGATGAGACAAAAATGATATACATATAATCTTAAAAAGTCTATGGTTATAGTTTAGTCAACTAGTTTAAGGAACAAAATATACATCTAGTCAAGGTTTATCTGAGAATATTTGTTTTTTTTATCTACATAGCACATGATAATTAAAAGTACCAGACTGGTGGAACTAACCTTATTGGATGTTTAACAGCCATACTTTGAGGCCTATACTAATGTGCTCAGAGGGACTTAAAGGACAGTTTTTGCCCCTTGCCCTCCACAATTGACTAAGTTCCAGGGGACTATGCAACATCTCTCAAGATGTCCTGTAACTGTGGTGAGTCACCTATCCTCTTGTTCAGGGAGGACATGGAGACCCACAAGATGGACTTGAACCAGCATCTAGTCTACAAAGAGGAGGGTCAACTCAGGAAATATCTCATTCATGCTTCCAAGTGAAACCAGACATGCTCGAGCGGGACCTTTGACTTATCTTTACATAGATGGAACTGGTAAAAGAAAGGAGCCAGGAGCTCCTCCCAAGCCCATGTGACCCTGAGGAACAGATCCTCAAATG